ATCATCATCAATATCGTGAATGAATGGCGAACAAATCTCAAGCGGGAGCCCCCTCCCTGTGCGGTCTGCAGCTCATGTTACTAATCCGAGCGGGTCTTCGAAACTCAATGATTGCCATCACTTTCGGGATCCCCACTGCTGAATATGGCAGAAGTTGAAGTCTCTGGCGGGAGCGTCGTTTGTGATTGAGTGGCGAGGGAATCTCAGGTGGGAGACCCCTCCCTATGGGGCCTGCAGGTCATGCTACTAATCCCAGCCAGTCATCGGAAGCCAGTAGCTGTCGTCACTTTTGGGCTCCTCAATCGTGAATGCGGCGAACATCTCGAGCGGGAGCCTCGTCTGTGAGTGAACTGCGAGGAAAGCTGAGGACCCACCCGAAGGATGGGGCTCGCAGCTCATGTGAGGAATCTGGGCGGATCATCCGAACCCTATACATGTCATCACCTTCGGGCTCCTCAGTCCTTAATGCGGCGGAAGTCTCGAGCGGAAGCCTCGTCTGTGAGTGACAGCAAAAAATCGCAAGCGTGGCCCTTCTCCCTATGAGGCCCGGATTTCATATTGTTAATCCGCGCGGGTCATCGGAACAGTTCTCAATCCTGAATTGTGGCGGACGTCTCGAGCGGGAGCCTCGTCTGTGACTGAATTGCAAAGAGTTGTCAAGTGGGAGCCCCCTCCCCATGCCGTCTGCAACTCACGTTACTAATCCGAGCGGGGTTTCTGGAACCCTGTAATTGTCATCACTTTTGGGCTCCTCGGTCTTGAATATGACGGACGTCTCGAAGGGGAATCTTGTCGGTCACTGAACTGCGAAGAAAACTCAAGGCCCACACCTCATATAATCCAAACGGGTCATCGGAACCCTATAGCTGTCGTCACTCTAGTCCTCTTGTAGCTTGTGTCTCTGGCGGGAGCGTCGTTTGTGACTGAGTGGCGAGGAAATCTCAAGCGGGAACTTCCTCCCCTAGCGCCCGCAGCTCATGTTACTAGTCCGAGCGGGTCATCGGAACGCAATTCGTGTCATCACTTTTGGAATCCTCGCTGCTGAATATGGCGGAACTCTCTGGCGGGAGCGTCTGGGTGGCGAGAGAATCTCAGGCGGCAACCCCTTCCCTCTGGGGTCTGCAACTCATGTTAAGAATCCGAGCCGGTCATCGGAAACCAGTAGCTGTCGTCACTTTTGGGCTCCTCAATCGTGAATGCGGCGAACATCTCGAGCGGGAGCCTCGTCTGTGAGTAAACTGCGAGGAAAGCTGAGGAGGACCCCCCCGAAGGATGGGGCCCGCAGCTCATGTGACTCTGGGCGGATCATCGGAACCCTATACATGTCATCACCTTCGGGTTCCTCAGTCCCAAATACGGCGGAAGTCTCGAGCGGAAGCCTCGTCTGTGAGTGACAGCGAAAAAATCTCAGGCGGGGGCCCCCTCCCTATGAGGCCCGGATTTCATGTTGTTAATCCGCGCGGGTCATCGGAAAAGTATGCATGTCATCATGTTAAGGCCCCTCAATCCTGAATTGTGGCGGACGTCTCGAGCGGGAGCCTCGTCTGTGACTGAATTGCAAAGAATTGTCAAATGGGAGCCCCCTCCCCATGACGTCGGCAGCTCACGTTACTAATCCGAGCGGGGTTTCTGGAACCCTGTAATTGTCATCACTTTTGGGCTCCTCGGTCTTGAATATGGCGGACGTCTCGAAGGGGAATCTTGTCGGTGAGTGAACTGCGAAGAAAACTCAAGGCCCACACCTCATATAATCCAAACGGGTCATCGGAACCCTATAGTGGTCGTCACTTTGGTCCTCTTGTAGCTTGAATGAATATTGAGAGTGTCTCTGGCGGGAGCGTCGTTTGTGATTGAGTGGCGAGGAGATCTCAAGGGTGAACTCCCTCCCCTAGCACCCGCCGCTCATGTTACTAGTCCGAGCGGGTCATCGGAACGCAATTCGTGTCATCACTCTTGGAATCCTCGCTGCTGAATATGGCAGAAATCACTGGCGGGAACGTCTGAGTGGCGAGAGGATCTCAGGCGGCAGCCCCTTCCCTCTGGGGTCTGCAACTCATGTTCAGAATCCGAACCAGTCATCGGGAACCAATCGCTGTCGTCACTTTTGGGCTCCTTAATTGTGAATGCGGCGAACATCTCGAGCGGGAACCTCGTCTGTGAGTGAACTGTGAGGAAAGCTGAGGAGGACCCCCCCGAAGGATGGGGCCCGCAGCTCATGTGACTCTGGGCGGATCATCGGAACCCTATACATGTCATCGCTAATCCGAGCGGGGTTTTTGGAACCCTGTAATCCGTTACTAATCCGAGCGGGGTTTTTGGAACCCTGTAATTGTCATCACTTTTGGGCTCCTCGGTCTTGTCGGTGAGTGAACTGCGAAGAAATCTCAAGGCCCACACCTCATATAATCCAAACGGGTCATCGGAACCTTTTAAAAGTCGTCACTTTGGTCCTCTTGTAGCTTGATATTGAGAGTGTCTCTGGCGGGAGCGTCGTTTGTGATCGACTGGCGGGAAAATCTCAAGCGGGAGTTCCCCCCCCTGGGGCCCGCAGCTCATGTTACTAGTCCGAGCGGGTCATCGTGATCCTGCAACTGTGGTCATTTCTGGCCTGTTGTATCTTGAATATGGCGGAAGTCTTGAGCGGGAGCCTCGTCTGTGAGTGAATGGCGAAGAAGCGAGCGAAATATGCTGATCCTGAGGCCGTCCACGCGAGGAGTTCCTGAAGTGCGGGCCGCCAGCTTCCCTGCGGAGGCGTACGAGGAATTCGATAAAAGAGTGGGGAACTCCATGGCTGAGGCGGAGCAGGTCGCGGCCGCGTTGGGCTTCGCGATGCCTCCCGCCAGAACGCTGCCGCGACTAGCTCGAGACCTGCACGGTTGTCCCGATGGCTTGCTCCCGCGCCGCAGCGGTCCGCGGGGTTGTCCCAACGGCTTGGCCAACGGGGTTGCCCCAGCGGCTTCGCGATCTGGCCATCGGATTTCGCGCCCGTGCTGGCCGGAGCGGCAACGGCGCCTAGGAACATCGACTTGCGTGCCCTTGCTAAAAGGGTGGCGGAGGAAGTGAATGGGGGAGAAGAGGCAGGAGGACGACGAAGAGGAGGAGGCAGAGCAGGGGGCGGGAAGAGGGCCTCCGCCGGGGCGAACGGAAAAAGGGCGATGAGGACACGGGAAGAGAGCCTCTGCACTCACAACAACCGCGATCAGGTTTACTTCCATAAGAGCCTGGGGGATTGTCATGTGGGGTCCTACCGTCGGAAGCATTTTCTGGACACCCCCCGCGCAGGAGAACACCTCACCCTCTCGAGTCTCCTCTTTTCATCACCACCACACCACCACCACCATCATCATCATCAGCATCATCATTATCATCTTCATCATGCTCCATCATCATCACTATCACTATCATGATCATCTGTCACCCCCTGCACCTCGTCATGTTCTCACACTCAGCATCACCATCCTCATAGTCATCCGACCACCATCATCATCACCATCCCATCAATACCACTTGCCATCATAATCATCGATCATGATCTTGAGCGGGGACGACGTCAGTGAAAGAAGCGCGAGGGGTTCTCACGCGGGAGACCCTCCCTATGGGACCGCATTTCATATTACCAATCTGAGCGGGTTGTCCAAACCATGTCTCTGTCGTCACTTTTGGGCTCCTCAGGCCTGAATCTTGAGGAAATCTTGAGCGGGAGCCCCTCCCTCTGGGGCCCGCACTTCATGTTACTCATCCGAGTGGGTCATCGGAGCCCTGTAGCCGTCGTCACCTTTGGGCTCCTTAATTAGGCCTGAAATTTGACAAAGTCTTGAGCGAGAGTCTCGTCTGTGAGTGGATCGCAACGGAATCTCGAGCGGGAACTTCTCCCTTAGGGCATGCACTTCATGTTACCAATCCGAACGGGTCATTCAAACCATGTAACTGTCAACACTTTTGGGCTCCACAGGCTTATATCTTGAGGAAGTCTCGGTCGGAAACCCCTCCCTCTGGGGCCCGCACTTCATGTTACTAATCCGAGAGGGCCATCTAAACCATGTAACTGCCTTCGCTCTTGGGACCCTCGGTTCTGAATCTTGAGGAAGTCTCGAGCGAGAGCCTCGTCAGTGAGTGAATCTCAAGGGAGTCTCGAGCAGGAGATATTTTGGGCCTCTTGGGCCGTTTTGGACGCTGTTCAAGCCCAAAATGCAAATATGCTAAACATGTACGTTGCCCTAAGGGATGGAACAATTGTGGCTTCTTGGGGCCCTCTCGTGGCGCATCTTGGAGCCTTCTGAAGACGTTTTGGCCTCTTGAGCCGCCTTGAAACAATATTCGGGCGTCCTGGGCCCTGTCAAGCCGCTCTGGTCGCTTCTTGGTGGCAGAGCTGTCTTGAGCGGCGGGGGGCGGCCCGGGAGACCCCGGAAGGGGTCAAACATGTCACGGGCCAAAAGGGGGAGGGGGGGGGAGTCCAGGAGGGTGCCGATCACCTGCGCCAAAGGGCCCCTCCAAATCTTGGTTTGTCCTTGTGAGGAACCGAACTCCATACACCAACGCTTTTTCCGGCCCTGCACGGAATTTGCACAGGAAAGCGGATCCTGGTGTTTACGAGGCCCTGGTGTATACATGTTTCGTTAGTTCCCCGGGCAACGGTTCATGAAAGCATACGCCACCCCACCCCGACGTCGTCCCCGACCTTCAAGAAGTCCTGGGATTGAAAAACAGCCCGCCACAAACAATGACATGAACATAAAAACTCGGAGGTCCGCGCGGAATTCTCAGATCGGCGCTGGACACCCCTCCCTGGCGCGCGGAGCGCGCCAGCGGCGGCGCCAAAGGCCCCGCCAGGGGGCCCCAGCGCCGATCCGAACAATCCGCGCGGACCTCAGAGTTTTTATGTTTACGTCATTGTGTGTTCCCCTATGGTAAATGTAGATGTTCCAATTTCCGACCTCGGCCCTCGTGCCGGCCGTGCGCTCCATATGCCCCAGGGGGGAGAGCGGGCGCGGTGGCCGCTCTCACGCCTCCTGCGCGGGCGCCCAGGGCACCACCTCGCGGACGGCGCTCTGGCAGAGCGGGCAGGTGGCGCCGAGCCTGCGCAGGGGGGGGCGACACAAGAAGGGGCGAGCATCATGATGTTCCGACCTTCTTTATCCTTGATCGCCAAAAAGAATGTCGAACACCAGGAAAGTACCGAAGCTCGAGTCGAGGGTTTTCACGCGCCGGGCCCTTGGAGGCGATACTCGTTCGACACTTCGCTGGCGTGTCGGGCAGGTAGTGCTTCGACATTTTCGAATTATTTCTGGGATGTGGTCCTTAAGTACGATGATGGGACAACGTAAGGCGAGCAGCGAGCCTGGGCGTCTCCTGGCCGTCGCGAGAGGCTCGATCACCCCCCTGGGGACGAACGGACGAGTCCGCAGTCGCGAATCGGGGCGGCCCGAGCAGGGTGGCAGGCGCGCAGCGCGTCGCGCGGGCCTGCACGGGGGCGACCGCGGAAACGAGCGGCGAGCCGCGGTATCCCGGGGCCGTCGCGAGAAGCTCAATCGTCTCCCTCGAGAGGGAACACGACAGGGCCGACCCAGACATACGGCGGCTCGAGAAAAGTCGAGACCCAGACATACGGGAAACTATTGGCAATGTTTGCGCCGCTGGGGGCTGTTTTCGTGCCTTGGGACCGTCAAGGAACGGCTCGAGATGAGAAGTCGGAGCGGGGAAGGGGTCCAGAGCTCTCGGAGCCCACGTCGACAACAGATCTGCAAGATGTCTGGGCTTCGAGGATGAAGAAAAAAACCAAATGGGGGGGGACGAGAACCCTCGCGAGGCCAGCACGACCATGGCCGGGGTGAGCCAGAGCCCGCCCGCGACGGTGGACAGCACTGGTCTTTTTACCTTCGCCGTTCTGCTACCTTCTCGGGGCAGGAACACCTGCTCGGTGCCCCGCATGGCCCTCGCGAGCCGACTAGGCGTGAAAGAGCGCCGTGCGCTCCAGAGCACCCCCAGCCCCGGCGCCCTTGCGTCGGAGCTCCATGGCCGACTCTGGAAATCCCAAAGCCAACAACCGTTGACGTCTCGCTTTCGCTTCCGCCGCCGCCCGCCGGCCTCCGCCGCCCTCCCCTCGCTTCTTCGCCTTTCCGCCTCGCGCTTTTTCGCCTTCCGCCCTTGCAGAGCTCTCGTCGTATAGAGGGGGTCAGTGGTTACCCTCGCTGGGGGAAAGACTGTGGGGGCCCGACCGCAAGAAATCTTCCACAATAACCTCAACCCTGAGACCCCAGGACGTCCATCGATTTTTGGTGTGGGAACGTCACGCTTTCCATGGCAGAACCATCGAAACCCAAGACACCCAGGGCACCCTGGAGGCAAGCAGGGTGCTTCCTGGCATGGGCCCCACCGTATCCCCCCGGACCAGCAGCTGCTTCCCTTCCGCCGGCCGTCCGCCGAGGGCGAGGGCGGCGCCGGCGGCGAGGCCCTTTCTGGAGTCAGGGATCTTCTGACTCGGGCCAAGCCAGACCCGCGTCAGTCAGGCCTTGCAGGCTCCTGCAAGACCCTGCGCCCAAGCCTGGCTCAAGGCGAAGGATCCTGGAAGATCCTGCGCCCAAGCCAAGGTCAGGGCGACCCTGGCTGGCCCTGCAGGATCCTGCAAGATCGGGCGCTCTGGCTGACCCCCCTTTGCATCGACCCCCGTCTCAGGGCTGCCGACGGAGCGCATAAACACAGGGGACCGGGTGCTCCTGCTGGACTGGTGGCGGGATCGCCCATATCGGGCCGAGGGGGCGCGGACGGTGGAGCGCCCACCGGTATGCTTGCCCTGGAGAGCGTGGCCGCTTGGTCGATCTACACTTTTTTATGTTTTTGTTCCTGGCGGGTGGAATTCGTTTTCTGGAATGGGATGTTTCTGGGGCGCAGCCTAATACTTCCGTGGTTCATGAAGCGCTCTGCTGTTGGAGGTCGCGGGGATAGACCCCACGAGGGGCAGCGGACTCAGCAGTGGTCATTCATCGGCTGCCACTCGGCGCCAACATCGGTCCCGCGTGGCCGATCCAAACTGCGCACACGCGTGACTCACGACGTGAGCGCGTTCCGGCCTGCTCTTCCAGGATTTCAAGCGCTCGGCGTATGCCTCTTGGCTCGGCCACCGTGGGGCGGAGGGGCGGGCGAGCGGCGGCGCGCGACGCGGAGGGCGGAGCAGGAGGAGGGGGGGGGGGGGCAGGCGGTCGTCGCGAGGGTGCGGAGGGCGGAGTGGGAGGGGAGGGGGGGGAGGCGGCCGTCGCAAGGGCGAGAGGGCGAGCTGATCGATCGAGGCGGCTGTGGCCGCGGCTTGGGAGCGCAGGCTTCGCAGGCCAGCGCGTGCCCGCACGGCTGCAGCTGCGTGGCCACGCGCTGCTCGAGGCAGATGCTGCAGGTGGCCCTGCTCTCGCCGAGGCGTGCGGACTTGGAGGTCGTCCTGCTGAGTCCACCAGCGCCGCTGGGGCGCTGCGGATCCCCCTCCACCTGCTCCACCAAGTCCTCCGCGAAGCGGGTGCCCTTCCTGCTGAAGGCCCGGTACTTCTGGTGGTCCTCCTCGCCGTGCTCCTCGAAGTGCTTCGTGTTCTTCCTCGGGGGGGTGGCAGAAATAGGGATACACCGGAAGACGGGGGTGACGTTCGACCCCTGATCGACGTTACACTGCAGGCGCATCCCCAATAGGTCCACGATGATGAATCAGCAGGTTTCTCGGCAAGGTCGTGTCCCATGCCTCCAGGCATCGATGGTGAATGGGCGACTCTGTTTCGACGTTTCTTCCCTTGGCCCAGACCTCTGGCCGTGGTCGCCACGGACTTGTCTATTTGCTCTGAGGCCCTCCGAGTCCCAGAGACGCCCAACGGGCACCCAGAAACTTAGAGTTACATGCAGTCAAGCTCCTACCATAAGGGACGCAACGTAAGGAACGACGCTTTTTTCGGCACTGGAAGCGCCTGGGTGCACGACGAGCGCTAGAGGAAGCGCCTGGGTGCACGACGTGCGCTAGAGGAACACCCGTGGACGGATCTGCGGAACACCGAGCCCTTCCGATCCCGTCTGCTCCTCGTTTCAGCGTCACGACTGCATCGCGCTTTTGCGAGACCCCCGATGGGGCTGGTCGGACAATCCGCTCTCGCTCACGACGGTGCCCCCGTTCCCAGAAAGCCATCCTGACACGTTCTTCGAGCTGCGTCCAGCGGCGACGCGCCCCCCCGCCCCTCCCCGAGGCCCACTTGAGCCTCTCTTCCCCCAGGAGGCCAGCCCAAACCTTTTTCCCTTCTCCTGTGATGAGAACAGGTTCACACTGCGACGCGAAAGTAGTGTAGACGTGAATTGATATCGTGATGCTCTTTCCTTTTGTTTCGTTGCCGTCGTCCTCGCAATCACGCACCCCGACCGACTGCCTACAGACCACCCCAACCCAACCCGAAAACCCAAATTTCGGGTTAGGGGGTATGGGTTCCATGTGTGCGTTTTCAATGTTCCCCGATCCACTCCCACTGGGACTAGAAGGCAAATTTGGGCCTTCTGGTTGGGCTGGGATGGTTTGGTGGGTGGTGACCGACACTGTGCGCCGGTCTGGATACGATTTTTGAAAATTGCTTCTCTCTTTTTCTCTCTCTCTCTCTCTACATGTATACATCTGCACTAAACTTAGATACATATATGTGTACACTTATATATACATACGTATTTGTACAGCTCAAGTATTTCGAGATTCGATTCATACACATACATGTGTATACATCTACCATACATCATGTATATTCGATGTCTATGTTCATGTCTGTATCTACTATGCATATATACCGATCTCTCTAAATATATATAGAAATGTCGACCTATCGATCCTGATATTTTCATATACCATGTATCCAAGTACATCGATATATACACGTATGTCTGGAGCAATCAGGCTCCGCGGCTTAGGCTTGCTGCTCCCTGCTTCAGTTCCAGTTTCCAGCCTCCGATGGTATATTTCGATGTTCTGCTTCCTACTGCGAGTTGTTGAAGTTCGTGCGAGGAAAGGGAGCCGAAAAGGGACCTGTTTACCTTCACCTGGGGGGTATCACAATTTCTGGGGGGTTCTGGGACACATAGAAATACTTCAAATTCGCACCCTCGAAGCCATAATTACTAGCAGAATGCAGCATCTTCGCGCCCCCGAGGCCTTAATCCGAAGTAACTTATACAATGTTCGCGTCCCCGAGGCCATCAACCCTAGCAAATCATGCTGTGCTCGCGCTCCCCGGACCATACTTCCTAGTACATTGCGCAACATTCGCATCTCCGAGGCAATACTCTTTCGTAATTTACAACGTATCTGTGCCCCAGAAGCCACGATCCCTCGTAAATTACAAGTTCTTCGCGCCCCTGAAATGATAAACCCTTATAACGTACGCAGCGCTCGCATTTTAGAGGCGACAGTCCTCCATAAAAGGCCCCCAAGACGGTAGAAGAGGCCTCCGAGACAGCCCAAAAGTGCACCAAAGCGCCCAAAACGGTCCCAAGACGGCCCAAGAGGCTCCCAAGAGGTCCCCAAGAGCGCTCCAAAAGCACCCCCAAGAGGGGCCCAGGAGGCCAACAACAGCGATTTCCCGCACGCTCATATCTCCAGTGGCCCCCGTTCTGAGTTCCGACGCTGCTTCACGACGGCGCCCAGGCCTCACAACACAGCTCTTGCATGCCGCATTCTCCGAGAGAGGGGGCCGGCGGCAAAGGCCGAAGCCTTTTACGGATACAGCTGGCCCGTATAAGGATACGCGATAAGGATGCAAGGGCCTTGGGCGCCAATTTCGAAGCTTTTCGAGCGGGGCTCGGCCAACGACAGTGGTCAAGGATGGACCGATGAGGCAAGGATGCAAGGATACCCTTGGGAAGGTTGTCCATCCTTCCTATGCTGGTTCACTGTATATTATGGTCTGTAACTCAGCTTGGCTTGCGCACCATCTTGACGCTTGTGATTGAGGATTCGGCTCCTCTTCCATCCCACACCATGGATCTCCGATATCTTGTTTTGCTCAAGTCGGGTACCCCGAAGTCTTGAACCTTTCCCCGAGGCCGGCTTTTCATCCAGAGCCGTTTTGCTGACGCTCCCGAACCCGAAAACAGATCGGAATCCGAAAACGACGAACCACCCCGCCTTTGTGTTTTCAAAACGTTCGATGCCTAGGCACTATATACTTCTCATCCTCCGTGAATGGCCGACCACATTGTCAAACCGCCACCAGACTTCGATCCTCGAAAATTAATGCTCAAACCTCGGCCCTACCCAATGGGGTTCCTGCCGCAGATGCCATCATTCTCCTCCCTCTTCTCCGTTCTAGCTCCTGCCTCCTTCTACCTCCAGCCTGAGCCCCAGCTTGACCTCCCGACGCGGGCTCCTGCTGAGGATGCCGTCCTCCTCTTTGTCGTCCTCCTCCTCCTCCCTCCTCCTCCTCCTCCTCCTCCTCCTCCTCCTCCTCCTCCGTTCTGTTTCCTGCCTCGTGCGTCTTCCGTTCTGCCTCCTACCTCCCTCCTACTTGCCTCCCACCTGCCTCCTACCTCCTCCTCCCCCCCCTCCCTCCTGCCTCCTGCGTCCTCCTTCCCTCAAGTTTTCGCCCAAGATCCCTGTTCGATGGCCCCGGGGCCAGAAAACGGGACCCAGAGGCCGAAACCGAAGACAATTACTCACTGCGTGGAGATCCCCAAATGTGCATGTCATGTTTTATGTCATGCCATAGCGAGCGTCTGTTTACGAGAGTTTGACTATAATAATGCGTCCGCGTGGGCGACAGGGCCGACGAAGACGAGCGAATCCTCATGCGAGTGAGTGAGTATGAGTCAGAGTTAGCTTTGAACATGATTGAATCTGAGCCTCCCACTCATTCCCCCTCCTCAGCTGCCAGGCCGTGCCCTCCTCAGCCAGCGGTATTGTGTGTATGTTTTAAGATAGTTGGCAGTGGGATCTGTAAAACGAGCGTTTAGCCACACAAGGCCATATGTGCATATCAGGTTGTAGGATAATGCCACGGCGAGCATTTGTCCATGATAATTGTTTGCCCCACGAGCGCGTCCAGGTGAGCGGCCAGCGCACGCGCGCGCAGGGCGGCTGCACGCCCACCACGTGCATGCATTCATTCACATGCATCTGCCCGCGCATCCTTTTTTGATCAAGGCAAAGAATTCCTTCGGCGCCGCGTCCGGAGCACCAAAGGGAGTACGAATGACAAGTGCTTCAAGCGGCACCTCGCGACCTGCGCCTCAGCTTTGACCGTCCGCACTTCGCATCGGGCCTAGCTGGCAACGCAAACAGAAGTCGCAGGTACATGGCGCGCGAAAGTAAGTGCTACAAATGGCACCCTCGCGGTTTGCGCCTCGGTTTGGCCGCTCGCACTTGGCATCGGGCCTAGCTGGCCATGCAAAAAGAAGTCTTCTGCACTTGGCAGCGGGGCGAAGGGCCAGAGGCACGACGCGAATCACTACGTCTGTGACCTCATATCTGCCAGCTGTGCCATGTCGGACTCTTGGTCAGCCAGAGGGTACGTGCCAGAGCACGACCCAAGGGACCAGCACGCCTCGACTCATTCCTCCGTGCGTCCCAGAGGGTACGTGCCAGAGCACGACCCAAGGGATCAGCACGCCTCGACTCCTTCCTCCGTGCGCCCCAGAGGGTACGTGCCGGAGCACGACCCAAGGGAGCAGCACGCCTCATCTCCTTCCTCGCAGCATGAAAACGAGCAAACCGCCTGAGACATCCTCGCAAAATGGCCGCGAACGGGCCCGTGTCCTACCCCTTGGCGGCTCTCCTTAGGGATGCTGAAACCAGCGCCCCGCCTGAGACATCTTCAACATCTGCTCTGAAAGCCAAGGATGTTGGGCATGAAAACGAGCAAACCGCCTGAGACATCCCCACAGACTGACCGCGAACGGGCCCGTGAAGACTCCCTTGGCGGCTCCCCTTAGGGGTGCTGAAACCAGCGCCCCGCGTGAGACATTTCTCACAATCTGCTTTGACAGCCAAGGATGTTGGGCATGAAAACGAGCAAACCGCTTGAGACGTTCCGACAAACTTGCCGCGAACGGGCCCGTGAAAACACCCCTGGCCTGGCGGCTCCCTTTGGGGGGGCTGAAACCAGCGCCCCGCTTGAGACATCCTCACAATCTGCTCTGACAGCCAAGGATGTTGGGCATGAAAACGAGCAAACCGCCTGAGACATCCCAACAAACTGGCCGCGAACGGGCCCGTGAAAACACCTCTGGCCTGGCGGCTCCCCGTAGGGGTGCTGGAACCAGCGCCCCGCCTGAGACATTCCTTACAATCTGTTCTGAAAGCCAAGGATGTTGGGCATGACAACGAGCAAACCGCCTGAGACATCCCGACAAACTGGCCGCGAACGGACCCGTGAAGACACCCCTGGCGGCTCTCCTTAGGGGTGCTGAAACCAGCGCCCCGCCTGAGACATCCTCACAATCTGCTCTGAAAGCCAAGGATGTTGGGCATGAAAACGAGCAAACCGCCTGAGACATCCCCACAAACTGGCCGCGAACGGGCCTGTGAAAACACCCCTGGCGGCTCCCCTTCCGAGTCTGAGTATGACTAAGTCTGCTACGAGTAGGTCTCAGTCCGTGCGTTGAGTAACTGAGACTATGAGAAGGTCTGAGTATGTGTAGGTCTGAGTATGAAAAAGTCTGTGAATGAGCATGTCTGGGAACGAGTCTGGGTATGAGTAAGTCTGGGTATGGAGGAGTCCCAGCATGAGTAAGTCTGAGTATGAGTAGGTAGGCCTGCATGCTGTGTGTTGAGTAAATCAGACCATGAGAAGGTATGGGTATGAGTAGGTCTGAGTATGAGTAAGCCTGTGTATGTGTAGGTATGTTCTCCCTGGAGTCGGCGGCGTCCGAATAATAATTATTCACTGCGTGGAGCTCCCCATATGTGCATCTACTCGCATGGACCTGTCCGCCGTGAATGTCTAGGCGCAAGAGCTTTCGAATATTAACGGGCTTCAGTTGTGACGGTCTGGACATCAATCTAACTGCGAATGAATTGGAGTGTGAATGAGCCTCAGTAGTACGAGCGCGTCTCTGTGCATGAGCCTGGGGCCTCCTGGGGCCTCCTGAAACCTACTGGGGCTTCCTGGGGTCTCCAGGAGCCTCTTGGGACCTCCTGGGACCTCCTAGGAAGGTTTCGTGCCCCAGGAGAGGCGCAATCTATAGCAACAGACGTACATAAAACATTGCGGATTAGAGCCACAGGAGAAGGGCAATCTATAGGAACACGCGTAAAACACCAAGGACTCGTGCCCCAGGAGAGGCCCAATACATAGGAACATGAGTAAAACATTTAGGATTGTGTACACAGGAGAAGGACCATCTATAGAAACATACGTAGAACATCAAAGAATCGTGCTCCAGGTGAGGCCCAATCGATAGGAGCATACGTAAAACACATGGGATTGGAGCCACTCCTGTTGCCTTCTGAGGCCTCCTGCTCCTGGGGCCTCTCGGGGCCTCCTGTTGCCTTCCGAGGCCTCCTGGCGCTTCCTGTTGCCTCCTGGGGCCTCCGGTGGTTTCCTGAGGCCTTCTGGAGCTTCCTGGGGCCTCCTGGAGCCTCTTGGGACATCCTGTGGCCTCTTGAGTCTTTCTGTCGCCTCCTGATGCCTCCTGGGTCCTCATGTGGTCTCCTGGTGCCTCCTGGAGCCTGTTGGAGCCCCTGTGGCATCCTGAGAAGAATCTGCGCCCACGAGCCTGGCCACCAAAACAAGCAAACCGATCGAGACATCCTCAAAATCTGGCCCACCTGGGGGGTGAAAAGGAGCGCCTCGCCCGAGACATCCTCCAAATCTGCTCCGAAAGCGAAGGATGTTGAGCCCAGAAACAAGCAAACCGCCTGAGATCCCCACAAAATGGCCGCGAACGAGCCCGTGCAACCACCCCTGGCGGCTCCCCTTAGGGGTGCTGAAATACAGAAACAGGCAAACCGCCTGAGACATCCCCACAAAATGGCCGCGACCGAGCCCGTGCAACCACCCCTGGCGGCTCCCCTTAGGGGTGCTGAAATGAGCGCCTCGCTCGAGACATCCTCCGGATCTGCTCCGAAAGCGACGGATGTTGGGCCCAGAAACAGGCAAACCGCCTGAGACATCCCCACACAATGGCCGCGAACGAGCCCGTGCAACCACCCCTGGCGGCTCCCCTTAGGGGTGCTGAAATGAGCGCCTCGCTCGAGACATCCTCCAAATCTGCTCCGAAAGCGAAGGATGTTGGGCACAGAAACAAGCAAACCGCCTGAGACATCCCCACAAAATGGCCGCGAACGAGCCCGTGCAACCACCCCTGGCGGCTCCCCTTAGGGGTGCTGAAATGAGCGCCTCGCTCGAGACATCCTCCAAATCTGCTCCGAAAGCGAAGGATGTTGGGCAAAGCGAGGATGTTGGGCCCAGAAACAAGCAAACCGCCTGAGACATCCCCACAAAATGGCCGCGAACGAGCCCGTGCAACCACCCCTGGCGGCTCCCCTTAGGGGTGCTGAAATGAGCGCCTCGCTCGAGACATCCTCCAAATCTGCTCCGAAAGCGAAGGATGTTGGGCACAGAAACAGGCAAACCGCCTGAGACATCCCCACAAAATGGCCGCGAACGAGCCCGTGCAACCACCCCTGGCGGCTCCCCTTAGGGGTGCTGAAATGAGCGCCTCGCTCGAGACATCCTCCAAATCTGCTCCGAAAGCGAAGGATGTTGGGCACAGAAACAGGCAAACCGCCTGAGACATCCCCACAAAATGGCCGCGAACGAGCCCGTGCAACCACCCCTGGCGGCTCCCCTTAGGGGTGCTGAGTATGAGTAAGTCTGTGTATGAGTAAGTCTGTGTATGAGTAAGTCTGGGTATGAGTAGGTCTGTGTATGAGAAAGTCTGTGTATGTGTACGTCTGGGTATGAGTAAGTCTGAGTATGACTAATACTGTGTATGAGTAAGTCTGGGTATGAGTGAGTCTGTGTATGAGTACGGCTGGGTGTGAGTAAGTCTGTGTATGAGTAAGTCTGTGTATGAGTATGTCTGAGTGTGAGTAAGTCTGAGTATGAGTAGGTCTGAGTATGAGTAAGTCTGAGTATGAGTAAGTCTGTGTATGAGCAAGTCTGAGTATGAGTAAGCCCGACAGGAGGGGAGGAGAAAAGAGGAGGAGGAAGGAGGAGGAGTAGGAGGCGTCCAAGTAATAATTATTCACTGCGTGGAGCTCCCCATATGTGCATCTACTCGCATGGACCTGTCCGCCGTGAATGTCTAGGCGCAAGAGCTTTCGAATATTAACGGGCTTCAGTTGTGACGGTCTGGACATCAATCTAACTGCGAATGAATTGGAGTGTGAATGAGCCTCAGTAGTACGAGCGCGTCTCTGTGCATGAGCCTGGGGCCTCCTGGGGCCTCCTGAAACCTACTGGGGCTTCCTGGGGTCTCCAGGAGCCTCTTGGGACCTCCTGGGACCTCCTAGGAAGGTTTCGTGCCCCAGGAGAGGCGCAATCTATAGCAACAGACGTACATAAAACATTGCGGATTAGAGCCACAGGAGAAGGGCAATCTATAGGAACACGCGTAAAACACCAAGGACTCGTGCCCCAGGAGAGGCCCAATACATAGGAACATGAGTAAAACATGTAGGATTGTGTACACAGGAGAAGGACCATCTATAGAAACATACGTAGAACATCAAAGAATCGTGCTCCAGGTGAGGCCCAATCGATAGGAGCATACGTAAAACACATGGGATTGGAGCCACTCCTGTTGCCTTCTGAGGCCTCCTGCTCCTGGGGCCTCTCGGGGCCTCCTGTTGCCTTCCGAGGCCTCCTGGCGCTTCCTGTTGCCTCCTGGGGCCTCCTGTGGTTTCCTGAGGCCTTCTGGAGCTTCCTGGGGCCTCCTGGAGCCTCTTGGGACATCCTGTGGCCTCTTGAGTCTTTCTGTGGCCTCCTGATGCCTCCTGGGACCTCATGTGGTCTCCTGGGGCCTCCTGGAGCCTGTTGGAGCCTCCTGTGGCATCCTGAGAAGAATCTGCGCCCACGAGCCTGGCCACCAAAACAAGCAAACCGATCGAGACATCCTCAAAATCTGGCCCACCTGGGGGGTGAAAATGAGCGCCTCGCTCGAGACATCCTCCAAATCTGCTCCGAAAGCGAAGGATGTTGGGCCCAGAAACAAGCAAACCGCCTGAGACATCCCCACAAAATGGCCGCGAACGAGCCCGTGCAAACACCCCTGGCGGCTCCCCTTAGGGGTGCTGAAATGAGCGCCTCGCTCGAGACATCCTCCAAATCTGCTCCGAAAGCGAAGGATGTTGGGCCCAGAAACAAGCAAACCGCCTGAGACATCCCCACAAAATGGCCGCGAACGAGCCCGTGCAACCACCCCTGGCGGCTCCCCTTAGGGGTGCTGAAATGAGCGCCTCGCTCGAGACATCCTCCAAATCTGCTCCGAAAGCGAAGGGTGTTGGGCACAGAAACAAGCAAACCGCCTGAGACATCCCCACAAAATGGCCGCGAACGAGCCCGTGCAACCACCCCTGGCGGCTCCCCTTAGGGGTGCTGAAATGAGCGCCTCGCTCGAGACATCCTCCAAATCTGCTCCGAAAGCGAAGGATGTTGGGCCCAGAAACAGGCAAACCGCCTGAGACATCCCCACAAAATGGCCGCGAACGAGCCCGTGCAACCACCCCTGGCGGCTCCCCTTAGGGGTGCTGAAATGAGCGCCTCGCTCGAGACATCCTCCAAATCTGTTCCGAAAGCGAAGGATGTTGGGCCCAGAAACAAGCAAACCGCCTGAGACATCCCCACAAAATGGCCGCGAACGAGCCCGTGCAAACACCCCTGGCGGCTCCCCTTAGGGGTGCTGAAACCAGCGCCCCGCCTGAGACATCCTCACAATCTGCTCTCCAAGCGTGAGAAAGTCTGTTTATGTGTACGTCTGGGTATGAGTAAGTCTGAGTATGAGTAATACTGTGTATGTGTAAGTCTGGGTATGAGTAAGTCTGTGTATGAGTACGTCTGGGTGTGAGTAAGTCTGTGTATGAGTAAGTCTGTGTATGAGTATGTCTGAGTGTGAGTAAGTCTGAGTATGAGTAGGTCTGAGTATGAGTAAGTCTGAGCATGAGTAAGTCTGAGTATGAGTAGGTCTGAGTATGAGGAAAGAGGAGGAGGGGAGGAGGAAAGAGGAGGAGGAAGGAGGAGGAGTAGGAGGCGTCCAAGTAATAACAAGAACCCCATCTTAGGATATGGGGAACAAGAACCCCATCTTAGGATATGGGGAACAAGAACCCTATCTTAGGATATGGGGAAAACACCTGGATAGACAATATCAAAATACCCTCGGGCCCTGGACTGCCTTCCGACATGGGGCTCCTGCTGAGGATGCCCTTGATCGTCCCGCCGGGAGCAGCGCTTGCCTTCGGGATCCCAAAACCTTGTGGTATCAGACCGCACTGCTGCTGGGTTAGAGGCCTCTTAGATAGGGTCCGAGTAGATGGGGTCGACGGATCGCGCCGCATCGCCGATACGTCGCCGATGAATCGGCGATGCAGCGGCGACGCATCGGCGACGTCGGCGATGCATCGTCGACGTCGGCCCGGGGAAACACGGGCTCCACATCGAGCCGCATCGTCGATGCATCGGCGATGCGTCGCGATCCTCCGGCCCCATCTAATTACTCGGATCCCACATGGGAGGCGGCCTGGATGGGTTCAGGATGGGCCTGGCCAGGGAGCAGTGGGCATGAATAGACTTAGGTCGGGCATGTCCCCCTACAGGCGGATTTTAGGGGAAAAACCAATAATACCCCCAAAATGCACCAAAATAGCCAAACAATAATCAAACAATCGTCCCCCGACTATTTTAAAACTATTTTTGAATTTTCCTCCCGTAGAGGGACAGGCCCGATTTAAACGCGGCCCTGCCTCCAGCGGCGGCGCGGGCGCCCCGGCGCCCCCGGCCGCGCCCGCGGCCCGGAGCAGCGCCTGCGCCGCCAGCTGCGCGTCCTGGCCCCCGGGGGGCGCTTGGCGCCGCCGTTGCCAGGCCGACAGCGACGACGAGGGCAGCGGCGGCGGCGAGGGCGGCAGCGGCGGCGGCGAGGGCAGCGACGAGGGTGAGGGCGGAAAACGACGACGATGACGATGGCGAGACGGAGGACGGCGACGACGACACGAAGGGCGACGACGAACACGGCACGGACGACGACGACGACGAAGACGGCGGCGGCGGCAGAGGGGGCGGCGGCGGCGGCGACGACAACGACGACGGAGGACGGTGACGACGACACGGAGGACGGTGACGACGACAGCACGCACGGACGACCGCGACGACGACGACGACGACGACAACGACGACGGCGGTGGCGGCGGCGGCGTCGACGACGACGACGACGACCTCGACGGCGGCGGCGGCAGCGGCAGCGGCGACAGCAACGACGACGACGGCGGCGGCGACAGCAGCCGCCGCCGCAGTCGCCGCCGCCGCCGCCGCCGTCGCCGTCGTCGTCGTCGTCGTCGCCGTCGCCGTCGCCGTCGCCGTCGCGGTCGCCGTCGCCGTCGCCGTCGCCGTCGCCGTCGTCGTCGTCGTCGTCGTCGTCGTCGTCGTCGTCGTCGTCGTCGTCGTCGTCGTCCTCGTCGTTGTCGTTTTCGACGTCGTCGTCGTCGTCGTCGTCCGTGCCGTCATCGTCTTGGGCTTTGGAAACTCTGTGGTGTGTCCGAAGGCCCGCGCTTGTGCGGCCAATTCGCGGCTCGAGGGGGCCTGCCAAGATTGGCGCCGGGTCTGGGGGCACATCGTGGAGCTGGTTCCAGTCCGACGAGCGGCGGGTGACGGCGACGACGAACGACGAGGGTGGCGACGACGAACGACGATGGCGGCGACGTCAGCAACGACGACGATGGCGCCGCCGTCGCTGCCACAGCCGCCGCCGCCGCCGTCGCCGTCGCCGTCGCCGACGCCGACGCCGTCGCCGCCACTGCCACCATCGTCGCCGCCGCCGCCGCCGCCGCCGCCGTCGTCGTCGTCGTCGTCGTCGTCGTCGTCGTCGTCGTCGTCGTCGTCGTCGTCGTCGTCGTCGTCGCCCGTGTCGTCGCCGTCGTCGTCGCAGCCGTCCGTGTCGTCGTCGCCGTCCTCCGTCGTCATTGTCGTTGTCGTCGTCGTCGTCGTCGACGTCGTCGTCATCGTCGTCGTCGTCGTCGTCGTCCGTGCCGTCATCGTCTTCCGCGTCGTCGTCTTGGTCTTCGGAAACGCTGGGGTGTCTCCGAAAACCCTTGTTGGTGCGGCCAGTGCGCGGCCCGAAGCGGCCAGCCGGGATGGGCGTCGGGGGGCCATCGTGGAGCTGGTTTCAGTCCGCCGTGCGCCTGGCGACGACGGATGACGGCGGCGACGACGAAGGACGACTCCGGCAACGACGGTGGCGGGCCGACGTTGTCGCCGTTGTCCCCGCCGCAGCCGCTGCACCTTGCGGTGCTATAGGGGGCGCCACGGGCCCATGGTCAAGGCCCTCACCTTCACCACATATATTCCCTCCAGAGACAGTCGGATCCTTTCCACCCCTTCACGCGGTGGTCTCGCGAAGGATGAGGGGGCGCGAGGAGAGCGACGTCTTCGTTTTCAGCGCGACCCTTCTCAAACGCGCTGCTTCCCTTGTCGCTGCCGTTCAGCTCTGGCGCAGGCTGGCGTCATGCGGAGCAGGCCCTTTGCCGGCGTCAACGAACCGACCCTCCTGGTCAGGCTCAGCAGCATAGCGTTAGCGCCATGCTGCGCAGTCCCCGCGGATCACCGTCCTCGCGTCTCGGCCACGGCAGCTTTGGGCCATTCGTTCGATGCCCTTCGGCACCGCCCGCGCCTCCAAATCGTTGTCCCCGCTGTGCCCCCACCTGTCAAGTTGCATGTGTTTCCACGAAGCCCCGTGAAGAAGATGGGCCGGCAGCTCAAGACGAATCGGCCTCTTGCTCCCGCCGCCCCAACTTGGTGGCGACGACGACCTGGCCCCTGAGGTTCAGGTGCCCGTCCTCTCTTAATGTCCTAGCCCGCGGCGGCGAAGGCGCTCTCCCGCGCCCCTGTGGCACCCGGGCGAAACTCGGCCCGCTCGGCAACTCGTCCTGCGCGCGCCGCGTCACTGGGCGACCGCGTCACAGGAAGTAAGAGACGCCAGATCCCCGCGGCGAGGCGTCCTCTGGCGCGCACTCGGCGGCCAGCCGTCGTCCCACCTGGCCTCCAGGGACATCGCCGCGCCGCCGAGAGTCCGCGGCTCCTCCCAGCCGTTGCCCCCCAACGGCGCCCTGCTGAGATGGCGCGCCCTCGCGAAGGGGCGCGCGCGCCGCGCGCGAAGCCAGGCAACTCGGCGCGGATCAAGGCGACGAGCGCCGCGCGACCCACCGCCGCCGCGAGCTCTGGCCGCTGCGACCGCCGCGCCCCATTAGTCCCGCGATGGCGCCGATTCGGCGGGTCCGTCCAAGCGCGCCGTCGATCTCGACGCCCGGGGCGACCCCGCCATGGCTGGCCGCGTCCGTCTCGTGGGCCGCTGGCTGCTCATCCCTTGGCCGCCCTGTCGCGGCGGCCGGCCCCCCCTCGCGCGAGAGCCTCGCCGTCTGCCGAGGTTCCCACATTGTCCGCGCATCAGCGCGTGCCCTGTGACTCACTGGAGGCGCCTCATGATAACGGGGGTGCTTCGGAGCCTTCAGCAGCTGCGCGCCCGTCGGCTACTTCGTCTATCGCATAAGCATTGGCGCGCTCTGTGCGATGAGGCCCCAGGGCCATCCCACGGGTGGCGACTGCGCCAGACGGCGCGGCAGCGCGCCCTTCTGGAGACCCCTTCCACCGAAGTGCAGCAGCTCCAGCTCGGGCCCCCGAGCTCCAGGGTGCGCAAGGTGCTCTTGCTGGCGGGTGCCCTCTGCGAAGTTCAGCCGATGGGAAGAATTCCTCGCGTCGCTCGCCCTCGAGCAAATCGCCCCCTCTTCGTCTCCGGGCCTCTCCCGCTCGGCGGCGCCCGGAAAGCTCGCTTCGCGGCTGGGCAGTCCAGCGCGCTGCTGGGCACCGCCGCGCGTGCGACTCAGCCGAGCAAGGCCGATGCGCTGGGGCCTCGTCGCCAGCTGTGCGCAAGCCCTGCGGCTGCTCTCAAACGCTAGTTCGGTGTAGGGTCGAAATCGAATTGGCCCCGCCAGCTCTCAGCTCGTCGATAATCGACGCCACGACATCAGCGCGCACCTCTGGGATCACTCCTTTCCTGGCGATATTCTGGCGCGCCCGGACGGCGCTGTCCTCCACGGGCAGCTCGCGCGACTGCCATGACCAAGGATGTGGTCGGCTCCTCGCCCAGTCCTCGCTTCTCACGCTTCCGCCTAGCTCCGTCGCGGCCTTCCAGCAGGCGCGCCAGCTTCTCGCTCGCGCTCCAGGCCGTGACGGACTTCACCACCGTACCGTCGAGTCCGGCTGGCCTGCCGCCTTTGGAGCAAATCGTACATCCACATCTTGTCTCGCAAGGTCTCCATGTATATGTCCCCGTCGCCGGTCTCGATCGTCCAGCTCTCGTAGCGCAGGTCGAAGTGGACTGGCCACAGCAACACCCATCGTGCTTGTGCGTGTCACTCTGGAACCCCGCCAGGAGCCGCGCTCTTGGCATTTGGTTTGGCTGGCTGGCTAATCATGGTCTTCTCGAGCCCCTCGCAGCCTCAATGTCAATCGGCTCAAGCGGCCGCAGCTCTAGGCCAAGCGTCCCGGCAGGATCACGAGACCCACAAAGAGTAACCGCGGATTCTGGGCAGCCAGCCACTCTGGACCCCTGAGGTTGGTTCGGCAAAAAGGGTACGATGTCTGACGGCACATGTCGTCCCAAACCGACAGCGGTCGCTGGTGGGCAGGCGGCCTTCTGTTCTCAAGCTGGCCAACGTCCGCGGCGACGCCGACTGCGGGTCCTGTCGGGGAGACGTCAGACTCGGGTCTGGGGGACACGGGTTAGCCTGGCGGGGCCACCATAAAAATGATGAGACCCAATCTGAAATTTGAAGCGAGCTCCCGCTGCAAATCTCCCACGAAGACTGAAAACTGGACCGTCAAAATCCAGGACGCGCTCATCAAAAAACGTCGGCGAACCCGAGTTCTGGCTTACTCGAGTCTCACGTTTCCCCGACTCTGTTCCAGGCGACCAGAACATGTTGGCGGTCTTCTCGGGGGGAAAGAAAGGGGGGGATAGCAAAGGGTATGGTGGAGAATCAGGTCGCGTAGTTGATTTTCCCAGCGCCTCCCGGCGCCGGGAGGCGCCCATGCATCGAGGAATGGGCCCGGCGGCGCGGCCGAAACCAGCCGTATGCAGCAGATTTCGTAGCCCCCCTTTCCCTTTCCCCCCCTTTCGTTCGGCCCGATCTTCGTACCCGTTCTTTCCGTACCCATTCCGATCGTGCCGAGACCCTCTGGCAGCCGAGGGGTGCGCCGCCGCCGCCGGCCGGCGGGCCCGCGCGCGCCCCTGCTGCGGGCCTCCAGCAGCAGCGCCCGCCGCTCGCCCTGCAGCTCGGGGCCAAGGAGGCGCGCCCGCGGCCAGCCTGGCCCCGACCCAGACCTCCGAATAAGACGCAGCCAGGACGGGGACAAACTCGGACCAGGCGGCCACACAAACAAAGTCTTTCCGTACCCATGTCGTAGAATAAGAGAATGCGCCATAAGCATAAACTTTTCGCGCTCCGCGCGGAGTTCTTGGATCTGCGCTGGACCCCCCCCTCCCTGGCGCGCGGAGCGCGCCAGGGGCGGAGCCGGAGACGCCGCCGGGGGGCCCCAGCGCGGATCCGAGAAATCCGCGCGGAGCGCCACAAGTTTATGCTTATGGCGCTTTTTCTCCTTCGATGTCAATCGTCCCGAGCCGCTCGTGCGGCCCCGCGCGATGCGGGCAAAGGCGGCGGCGGCGGCGGTGGCGGCACGTCGGCGCACGGCTGCCGCAGGCCACCGAAGGGGGCGGCACGAGGGCACTGCGGCGCCGTGGGCGCCGTGGGCGGCCTGGGCAGGCCGCGACGGGCCGTGAGTCACAGCAGCGCA